TCTTACTGTACAGGGAACTAACACCATACAGAGGAACCCTCTCCAGGGTGTGAAGGTGGATGGTGTTTGTAGCTCTGCTCAAACAAAGCAACATCTGTATCATCCTGGTGCCACTGGGTGGAACTGATGACCTAGTTTGCCGCTCTACAGAAAGACCTTATCTCTCCCAAATTCAGGACGAATGTCCTACAGTGGCAGGCCCTACATAGATAAGTCTGAACCCTTTACCAGTACAAGTTAGAAGCTTCCTAGACTAATGCTTAGTCTCTGAATATATATAATATTGATAGTAACAAACAAGCCCATTTAAATTGAAAAGGAGCCCCAGGGAGACCAGAGATTCAGAACCTGAGGAAATCTAGACTTGCTTTATTTAGGGCTTCAGCACTGTAGAGAGGGTTTGGCAGTAGGGAAAATAATGTGGTTCAGGGACTGTGAGAGAGACTAGAAGCTTCCTTACAAAGATACAAAAAGTTTATCTAGCTCCTTCACAGATCATTTTGGATTGTGGGTCATGTAATATAAATGCTGGATCGCTTTCGGCACATTAACTATAGTAATATGAAAGAAATGGGTGGTCCTATACTTTTCCTGTGTAGTATATTTTTCTGTTTCAGGTCTAAACGTTTAGTTATGTTGCATTTAGACAAACATCTAGTCTCTGAAATGATCATATTATACAGAAAAACAGTTCCCAAATTATATTAACAAACTATATTAAATAGGAGCATTAAGACTTACTTCATTTACAGAGCAGTAATCCTGACTTGCCACATATTCTAGACTTTCATGGTTTGTAATGGGTATATTTGTTTCAGGGTCTGTATGGCAGACAATGCTCAGCTCTGAAGTTGAACTTTCTACAAACATTCCCCATTCAATGAACCACCAGTTGGATTCATACTCTCCGTTCCTTAATTTGTATTAATCTGGAAATGACATTTTAGGTTGAAATTGTTTCGATATGGAAAAAAAAGAGTAAAGAAAATTCAACCTACCTCAATTAAAAATAGGTTTTGAGAAACAAGACTTACTTGTGACTGAAGCAGTTGATTAAAATCAAATAATCTTTTATATTTTGGTAACGCCTGGGACTGACGGAGTAGATATTACCACTTCAGGAAAACTTGGAAACAACTTTAAGCACATCTATCACTGATTTAGCCGGCACAACTAATATGCAGTAAAGTTACATCACAGTCACTTACACATCCTTCATTCAGGAATCTGGAGACGGTAGATAGAGGAAATATTTTTCTAAATCTCAAAACAGTCCCAGAGAAACACATGATGGTATTCATCAGTTGAAATGAAGCATGCTTCATTTGGACAAACATTGGAAAGAATGTGAAGTTTCTCTTGTAAACGACCCAGTTGTCCCATGAAGGGAATTGAGAACCAATCTCGCCTAATGCAATTAAGTGACCCCCTCCCTAGCATGCTCCTTCCCCTAGCTTCTCATGTGTTTCCCATTAATCTGATTCAAGATAAAACTCTCCTGTGAAGCCCGATTTGTTTGTGGCCCCTCAAAAACTTTGAAACATGGCCACTGTATCTTCATCCTGACGTTTATTACTTTTTAACATTCCCAAACAGTTACTGCAAACCGTTTAAATTTTTTAATTCATCAGAAGTGGTGTCCCGAATGCATTAGTTTTAACATCGCGATCCAACCTCCATTATTTCAAGCCCAGCTTTGGCGTTTTCCTTAATGAACTAAAGAAAATGGGATACTTAACAAGATCAGCTGAGACCAGTCACAATAAACAGCATGGGACCCTTTGATGTTCAGGAATAATATGTTATAATGCGCAATTGAATTTTTTACAAATCGGTTCTATCAGCAAAAAATAATTTGGGATAAATAATCATGTTTTTAATCGCAATGCTGACCTCAGATCTTGCTGACTCATTAAAAAACACATTATCTTTAACGAAGAGAAAAACCCAAGTATTTTTGTCTGGTTTGCATGGCCTTGGTGTGTCGATGCCTTGGTTGTGATGTTACTGACCCTAGTACGACTAAGTACTGTCTCAGGGAGTCATCGAAACTAGTCCACACCAACACCGGCTGATAAGTAAGGCTGGATTCCTCGATAGACAGCCACATTAGGTTTGTTTGAAAAGCTATTTGACTAAACACTAAACATGTCTGGCTGATTAGAAACATACGTGCTCCCATTTACTGGAGCAGTGTTTATGTTAGAACTGGCATCTTGGTCTGAGAGGGGGATGATGGGGAGACTGTGGCCCCAAGATCATCTGTATCTCCCAGATCAAATGTCAGTTTTTCAAGGGTTAATCAGGTTTCACAGGGGTTAATCTACACAGGATGGTTGGTAGGGAATGAATTGTCTCCTATCAAACTCTTTTCTGACACATTCGCTCTCTCTCTCTCTCAATCATTCTAACCTTACCCCTCAACCTCTCTCTAGAACTGTTCCCCATCTCTCTCTCTCTCTCTCTCTCTCTCTCACACACACACACATCTAGATCTAGCACTGTTCCACTCTCATTCTCTCATATAGAACGGTTCTACCCTCTCTCTCCTAGTCTGTCTCACAGTCCCTGAACCACATTAATTTCCCTACTGCCAAGCCCTCTCTGGGGTGCTAAAGCCCTAAATAAAGCAAGTCTAGATTTCCTCAGGTTCTGAATCTCTGGTCTCCCTAGGGCTCCTTTTCAATATAAATGGGCTTGTTTGTTACTATCAAAATTATATATATTCAGAGACTAAGCCCTGTGTTCTTGTCTGTCTCACAGTCCCTGAACCACATTATTTTCCCTAATGCCTAGCCCTCCCTGCAATGCTAAAGCCCTAAATAAAGCTTGTCTAGATTTCCCCAGAATCTCCCAACTCACTGGGGCGCCTTTTCAATTTCAATCGGTCTATTTGTTACTGTCAAAATTATATATAATCAGGGACTAAGCGTTAGTCTACCTCCCTCTGTCTCTCTTACAGCCTTTCATCTCTCTCTGCATCCTACCTTTTACAGAACATGGCTGTCAGGTCAACCTTTAATATACCATCTCTTACCCTGATGCACCAAGTCAGCTGATACACTACAAACACTATAACTATACAGGCATTAAATATGAAGTGTCAACTCTGTATTATAAAGAGAGTTTCCACCAACATTTCACTGTCTAGTGCACACAATGATTCTTGTAATAAATATTGTTCCAGTTTAAGTTATATCCATATCCTTGTGTGGCGGGCTGCGGGTTCCAGTTGTCTGGTTTCATGCAGCTCAACATTGATTCTGTTTATCACAAAGTTTTCAAAGTTTTACAATTAAAGCAACATTTCCTGTTCTAAAGAGTTTTCAAAACTGCAGTAACAGCTTTTAATTCACATCTCTGTACACCTATCTCAATGTCAACCAACCAATTCATTCACTGGGATTTCATATGTTTTAAAGTGCATAGCTCCAGCTTACTGTACTAAGTTCTCAACCATTCAATGAAAGTGTGAGATTAAACAAACCCTGAACCTATATCTTTTCCTCAAGGGCCAACAACCGATTTGTCAATCTCCTGTTGAAACTATTTATAGCAGGACATGTGTTTTGACACACTTACATCTCAAAGTGGGGGGGGAAAGCAACAAATGTGCCTTATATTCTGCTGTATCGAGGTAGACAGTTCAACTGGGTCTAGGTAGACAGTTACTGGACAGACATACATATGCATGTGTAGCCTGTCCTATATGCTACTGTTCAGTTCATCAGGGTCAGGATTATTGAAGGGGAGATTGGGATAGAGGGGGGAGATTGGGATAGAGGGGTGGGATGGAATTTGGGGAAAGGACACCAAGAACATGGGGGAGACTTGGAGATAAGACTTAACATTAGCTGGATATGAGGAAACAATAGGAATATGGTTATATTTAAAGAACTTATGATGGTACTGAATGGGTGAAGATTAGTTATGCAGAGGATTAAGGGGAATCTGTTAGATTATCAGTGGTGGGAAGGGTTGAGAGTCAGTGTGGAACGCAGAGAAAAGTAAAGGGAGACTGAAGGGTGGGCTTGCACAAGTCTCCAAGGTAATAATTAATAGTTGAAATGATAATTTCTCTAAAAAAACATAAATAACAGTCTGGGTCCTTAGACTGTCTGCTTATCTAAACTTGCCTTTTTAAAGAATAGAATTACTATACATGCATGGGCTTAGCACTCAGTACAGCTGTGGAGCAAGGCTAATGGAGGGAGAAAGAGGGGATGTAGTTGTGTAGGGTTGTGACGGAAAGCAATGTCACACTAAATGGTGTTTTGCAGGAATCAAACAAAGTTTAACTTTGGACTGGGCACTATTAATCAAATTTGAAAGTACAGATTACAGCACAGGATGTTTTCACAATTAGAGCAATGCAACTTCTGTGTCAATCACTGTGGCATAAGTTGTTCCTGTGAAGAAAGTTCACTATTTATTTATTCTAACTCCGAGCGCCCATCTGAAGGGAGACTGCCGAATGCTGTGCTTACTAATGGTAAACAGTGACTGAAGGCTGGGAGCTGGGCTGCTAAGACTGTCCACGCTGGGGGTCTGCCACAACATTATCGCCACTAAGATCTTATATTTTAGTTTACACCATGAGGAGTGGATAAAATGTGTTAATGTTGCGAACATGTGGTATATAGCTTCATGTTAATCGTTTCCTCAGCTGTTGGAACATGTTGCACATTGTTAAAAGTGTATGGAGAGTTTCATGGGCTATCTCGCTGAAAGAAAATCACTTGATATGTTGGAGTCCACATAGCAAGTAACGGCAGATATACAGTAGATGAAGTAATAGTTGTGTGAAGTAATATTTGTGAAGCAATATTTGTGATTTATCGTTCATGTCGCATGTGTTCACTGCATGGATGAATGGTGCAGTCGTTGAATGCATACACTGTTGAATGGTGTGTGTGTAACGTGGATGTGATTTGTTACCCGATTCGCTGAAACAAAAAAGGGAAATGAAAATATGAAATTGATAAGTAAAATTCACCTACCTTTACAATGTTCGTGGTAGTCAACGCAGCAGTCGGACATCACATAACAGTTGGAATCGCAGTAGCACCTCGACTCATTTGTGTTGGCATCAAGACGGCGACCAAACACAAAACACGTATTGTTTTGGCCATTACAACATAGATCGGCTTCTCCGCATGTGCGAGGGTTGTGGTGATACCTAAGCCCCGATCGGGGTTCTTCGGTGAATGGAGCTGGCGGTGCCTTAGTTGCTGACAACGCCGCAAGTTTGATTTTGAACTTTTGATGAGTCTCCTGTCCGTAACAAAATACACACACAACTAGCACGAGAAGTGTCACGTAAAGATTTCTTATATTCCCCATGTTGAGCTGTGAAATGTTACTTCTAGCGCGATAAGTACTTTCCAACTCGCGCCAGCAAGTTTTTACTCCAAAAGTTTATGTGAGGCGAGCTCGCGATGTACCGTCACTCACAGCACGCGCTGGCTGACTGCGAACTAGTAGGCTCCTCTGTGCGAAGATCGAGGATAAAGGCAACGAGCTGCCCGCGAGCGCAGCTGAAGACAATTATCCAGAATTACCCGAGTTTTCTGACTCACTCAACCACACTCACACGGCTTCTGGTGAAGCGCCGATCTCAGGCTTCTTCTCATAAGCTGTCCAACTGGCCCTTTGTCACTAGCTCATGAATATTCATGTCAATGCCTCCACCCCCCTCCCTGCCTCGGTCCAGCGGGGCCAACCCACCCGTGTCGGGACTTGGGTTGAGGGATCCCTATCATACTTTATCAGGGGCTACCGACAAATGCCAAAGTAAATATAAGTCTGTTTCTAGCAGTCAAAGAGCGGTAACTCTGACCTCCGCGCCGAAGACAAGTTGATGCGCTTGAGTCAATGTTTAACTAGATCGTTCTAAATAACCTGTGACATAAAAAAAGCTTGCTTAAACATTTAGTTTGGGACAGACATATTTATAAAGATCAATTAACATATCCAGCATTAATTTAAAATGCCCTCAGACTATAATAATAACAACAGCTATTCGTACATGTATATCTATCCAAATACAATTTAGCAGCCATGGGAATTGGTTTACCAGGGCACTAAATTTAACTATAATTGTTTATATTTACATGCCATGAAAACAAAATGATTTATTTACTGTGGATGGTCACGATTATATCTGGACAGGAAACACTGGCATGAGACAACGATGCTCTTTGAGTAAATGGGGTAATTGTGGCTAATGACATTTTCAACTGACCGCCATTGTCCGCTCGTCAAGTCGTTTTAATACCTTTAGCACACTCATAACTCCCGGGATACACTTGTTAATATAACTGTTATGCCTGACCTTTGTTTACGGGTCACTGTAATTAACACATTGTAATTAGTTACAACACTACTCCATCAGTGGATTAACCACCTTGGTGTTAATTACGCGGTTGTATTTCCCTTCAGACTAGCAATTGTTCGTGGAGGCCCTCAAACGTCACGCTGATCTGAAAGTGCTTTGGATTTTTTTGACACGTACATTTAAACACCATTATGACAGAGCAAGCTGATAAAGTGTGAAAGGAAATCTAACATGCCATGAATATGCCGTAATTGTATGTTACCCTTATACTCCAGTATTTCATAGCACGTGCGCGTTGAATTTGAAGTGGCAAAAAATTAATAACACATCTTCGTAAATGTTAGGATATAAATGCCTAAGGATTACTTATTGATAATATATAATAATATCGTTATGGTAGCAATGTAAACATTTACGTCTGTGTACAACAGATGCTATTTATTATCATTAAAGAAAACGATAATGTTAAATAGAATTTTGAAGACAGATCGGTTGACTTGTGTTTGTTTCACTCGACTGGGCAGACAGCTTCCTCGGCCATGTTGTTATTAATCATCCCTGAATCACCATCATCAATATTACATCGCCAGTCATCGAGCGTCTGCGTTTCCCAGGGCGATCTGCCCCAGGCATGCACGTGAGGGCGTGCTGCACGTGTTTACCTGCGCACTGAAATCCAATATTCAGTGAAGGATCATCTCTGCCATTGACATTCCTGTATCCTGGTTATTCATCATTTTCTCCCTGAAGTGTTTATTAATAACATAAGTGACGATTTGTGATCGAGTTGTTTATCAAATATTTCGTTATTATTCTGTAGTAATTATTTATAACAAACCCGATTATATTGTAAACATTATAATCTTGATTTTTAGGAAAATGTTTTGTTAAAACTTCGTCAAAATCGCAAAATTGATTTAAAAAATATATATTTGTAACCCTGAATGATAGTGAGTGAGTTTGGTTTACGCCGCCTTTAGCAATATTCCAGCAACATCACGGCGGGGGACACCAGAAATGGGACGCCAAGAAAACGTTCCATAATCTCTGAAATGTCTGTAATCTTTGCTTAAGCGGACTCGCAATGCCATGTGTACCCATGTGGGGAATCGAACCCGGGTCTTCGGCGTGACGAGCCAACGCTTAACCCACTTGGCTAACACACACACACACACACCCCACACACCCCTGAATGATACATACGATGTATTCAATGATTATTTCAGGGGTGGGTGTCCATGCACCATGTGGATGTATAAATTTATGTCACTAGATGGTATACTGCACGTACCCCCCCCAAAAAAAAACAAAAACAAAACAACAACAAACAAACCAAAAAAAAACAACAACAACAAGAGACATTCCTAAAAGATGTAACATACATATAACATATATATAAAAAGAAACTTTGGCTAAAGGTTTCTTCAAATAATCGTGACAGTACACTAATTCACCTCCACCACTACACGGGAAGTTTCGGGTTGTATTCAGGCCACTGCACTCTGTGATCACGGAGAGAGTATGTCTATAATAGACTTATGTCAATGTAAGTGGGGTTAAATGCCATGTGTATTAATAGTTTTTAGGTCTCAGGTCACTTTGGGTGAGTTGTATTAAGGTTCAGTGGCGTTCAGAATGTTAAACTCTGGACGGAAGTCACCAGTACCGTTGATATAATCATCATCATTAAAATGGAAGTTAAAACAGTCATCATGATTATTATTATTTACATAATGACCATTTCAATTATGTAATCATCAGAGTCATTCTTATTGTTATTGTTATATCAATTATTGATGATGCATCACTATCGGGCAGGTGGGGTAGGCTAGTAAGTAATGCTTACGCTCTACACGCCGAAAACCCCGGTTCCTTTCCCTCATTGATGGTTTGTTGAAAACCAACTGACGTGATATTGCTGGAATATTGCTGGCATTAAATCTGCCTCCAGTCACTAATCATCATCATCATCATCATCGTCGTCGTCGTCGTCGTCGTCGTCGTCATACGGTTATTGGTATCATTGGTTCTTTGGTAGGTCGTTATTGACATTTATTACATGTAGGTTTCTGGTAGATACCTAAGCATCGTATACACTACATTTAGCTCCCTCTGTTGATTCCGTTATCTCGTTGGAAGCTCAACACAAATATTACCACAAGCAATTAGTCTCGTAATAGGATCACACATTCTTGAGATATGAATCGCCTTCCAATTTCATCTTCATCAACGCTAAAAGCATCCATTATATCACTTTCTATAAAGCTATTGAAATGTTAAGCATTCCGTTTCCATGGTGAATTTCAGGGTTTTACGAAAGGTTGGATCGGAAATTGCCGCGACGCGGAAAAAACGACGGACAAAGAGCGCCTTATGAGTCAAGCTATGACATCATCGGGTTAAATCAATAGGGTAGAAAGACAATCGATTGATGTATGCGTACGTGATGTTGTTTTATCAACTGTAGCCGTCGTCACTGCATGCATCCCCGAACATGAACAAGCTTCATCATAGCGGACCACCCAGATTCGCGATTCGCGGTTGTTCAAGCACGAAAATAACTACTAATTCCATATTTTATATGGTCCCAGAGCGTCATAACTCTGTTAGTGTGACAACGGGGACCGACATGAACGACATTCCGCTGACCTGAATGACCTCACAGGTTTGAGAAACGGTCAAGCGGTTGCCAGTTTTTATGTGTGACATCGAGTTATCTTTCCAAACAATTTAACGCTTACAGCACGTTTCGTGTTGACCTCTAGTGATGTAAACAAGATCGGTGACATCTCGGTCGCCATGGTTTGATTACAGAGATATACCAAGTGGTGTTGTAACACCCGGGAGATGGTTTAATGACTTACGTGATCAGTTTTAAATAGATGATACCATGCGCTTGGAAGAAAAGGCACATGTTGTCAATATCTCCATATTTCAGTAAGCAGATAGTTGTACAGAGCTACAGTCCACTGTTAACATACACACAGGCACCAAAACCCCAAACAACAACAAATAAACAAGCAAACAAAACACACACCAATAAAATCCCACATAATTAAAAAATATATAAAAATGTTTAAAAAACAAAACAACAACAAATAAAAATAATTAAAATGCACTTAAATATTACCCAACCTCATTTATACACCCACAGCCAAAAGAGAGTGAGTTAAGTTTTACGCCGCACTCGGCAATATCCCAGCTATATGGCGGCGGTCTGTAAACAGGCGTTTTCAGCAGTTCATTTCTATATATATTTACAGCAATCTTCATTAAGACAATTCCTATGTTTTGATATCGTTAATCATGTCGTGGTTGTTCTGTATTGCGCGCAAACGCATCCCAAAATGTGTTTGTAAACGCTTGTCCTAAAAAAAATGAAAACGATACATGAAAAGTTCATTCAGAAAATGTTTTCCACGTAATGCGCGTGCAGTATGTCGGTAACATGAGTAGAGACATCGACTATATAGGGCCAAACCAAATTCATCATTTCATTATGAAATTTACGACCTAAACGAAGATAAAAATGCCAAGATTGAATACTACTGAACGAAATATCGCCATTGGACGTTTGGAAGCAGGGGAGTCCCAGTCTGCCGTTGCCAGACCTTCATCGTCCAGCACAGCACCATATCTCGATTATGGCATCGACATACCCGCTTCATCGACCCAATATCGAACATCCCAGAAGTGGAAGACGAAGAGTGACTATTCCGCTCTTACCGATTCATCCGGGTGTTTAACCTACGTCACCGATTTGCTACAGCAATGGACACTGCAGGACAGATGCGTGGTCTTCGAAAATATTCCATCAGAAATGGTCTGAGAGAAGTGGGAATTCGAGCATATCGACCAAAAGTTGGGCCTGTCCTGACACGGCTACACCGACAACGACGTGTGCAGCCATGGTCCAACTGGCGACGGGCTTGGTTCAGCGACGAATCGCGTGTCCTCCTGCAACGGCGTCATGGTACAACGACGTCAACACAAACATTTTGCGCCCAACTGCGTTCGACAGGTGGACAGGTTTGGCGGAAAGAGCGTCATGGTGTGGGGGACCATGTCCTACACGGGTAGATCAGAGCTAGTGGTGGTTCAAGGCAATCTTACAGCAAATCGTTATATCGACCAAATCCTGCGACCTCACCTCCTCCCACTTTTTAACCGCAGAGGGAGCTGTTTCAACACGACAACGCTCGACCCTACACAGCTCGTGTTAAAGGTGCCTATCTCAACAATGCAAACGCCAATGTCCTTCCCTGGATTTCCAAATTGCCTGATCTGAACCCGATCGAGCATCTATGAGACGAACCTGATCGACGCGTCCGTAAACGTCACCGTCGTCCTCAGGCACTT